GCTGAGAAGAAATTTTAAAGATGGTTTGGGCATAGCTGAGAAAGAGGAAAACTGTAACCATTTCATTTCCAACAAAGAAAAGCTACATTCACACCCTACAAATAAAGCAAGTTGGTACCTCTTCCTCCATAGGATTATTGGAGCTGCAGTTTGTTAAGGCTGTTGGCGTTGTTTGGAGATCCCTGCTGCCCTCATAGAACTGCAATTCCTAGAGTTCCCTGCGACGAGTGAGTGGTTGTTAAACCACTCTGTGAGGGGACTAGGGGTCTCTGAATGCCCTAAACCAGTGGTGGCCAAACTTGGCCCTCCAGCTGTTTTCGGACTACAACTCCCATCATCCCTAGCTAACAGGACCAGTGGTCAGGGATGATGGACATTGTAGTTCCAAAACAGTTTGGCCACCACTGCCCTAAACCAGCTACACTTCCTAGAAATATGTGGGAGAAGCCACAAGTGTTTAAAATGATATCACGGTGCTTTAAATGTTTGGTGTGAATCTGGCCAAAGACAGGTAAGCTTACAAACAGAAGAAGAAGAAGAAGAAGAAGAAGAAGAAGAAGAAGAAGAAGAAGAAGAGAGAAGAGGAGGAGGAGGAGGAGTTGTTTGGATTTGATATCCCGCCTTTCACTCCCTTTAAGGAGTCTCAAAGTGGCTAACATTCTCCTTTCCCTTCCTCCTCCACAACAAACACTCTGTGAGGTGAGTGGGGCTGAGAGACTTCAAAGAAGTGTGACTAGCCCAAGGTCACCCAGCAGCTGCATGTGGAGGAGCGGGGACGCGAACCCGGTTCACCAGATTATGAGTCTACCGCTCTTAACCACTACACCACACTGGCTCACAAAGGTGGCAAGCATCTCTCAATAGCTGTCTTCTGTGCTTGCTACTCGAGTATGAATAATTCTTTACCCTTCCATGGCTTATGGGAAGCTGTCATATTCCAAAGACCATTCATCTATTTACTCCAACCTTCCCTAATATGGCTACCCAGATGTTTGGATTACGTCTTCCATCAGCCCCAGCCAGCATCAGAAATGATGGGACTTGTTGTTTGAGACAACTGGAAGGCTGGGTTGTGTAAGGAATTCTGCAGTTGCAGAGAATCAGGACAGCCAGATGCAAAAGAAGGCAAAGGCTCCTGCACTTTGAATAGCAGAGCAGAAAAGGGAATTTCAACTCATCGTGTAAACGACACCTGCTGAGACTCCCTCTTTAGCTATTAAAAGCCACAGGAGCCCAGTCCTCTTCTGGCCTCCTGTCATCTGGTCACTCTTTAATATTGGAGGAACCAGGAATGAAAGAGCAGTATATGGATTTAGCAGCACCCCAAACCACAGGCCTGACCTTTTAGATACTGTATTATCAATACTGTATTGGATTGTTATTATGTGAGCTGCCTTGGATGAGATGCACTGAGAAAGGTGGCATATAAATATTTCATCATAAATAAAACCAAGCATATTGGGTGAATGCCATCCTGCCCAAGCATCCTCAGGCAGTAATTTATTTCTATTCTTTCTATTTTTATTACTGCATTTCTATCCTACCTGTCCTTCAGGGAGCTCAGGCTGATGGCATACCTGACTCCCCTCCTGCCACCATTATTTCTTCCTTATTTCATTGAGGTTTTTTAAGCAGAGGTTGGATGGCCATCTGCCATGGATGCTTTAGTTGAGATTGCCCTATTGCAGGGGGTTGGACCAGTTGACCCTGTCAGTGTTTGTAAAAAAAGAAGAAGAAAAAAAAGGTTCTGACCTCCCTTTGTTGCCTCAGCCTGGTCCTCGGACCCTTGTCGGCATAAAAGAGTCCACGAGAAGAGTATCCTTGCAGAGTACTTTCTGCTTTTATTCTTAAAAGTCTTTCTGCAAACACGACTGACCAACTGTACACACATCAACACTACCAACCTTTCACTAACCAACCAACCAACCCAACACCAAACTAACATTTCTCACTCTATATATACAACCCGGTGCAGGCCGCTGACTCATGCTGACCCAGCTTTTTAAGCATTAAAGAAACAGGGGTCCCTTCCAACTGTACAATTCTGATTCTATGACAACAACCCTGCAGGGTAGATTAAGCTTAGGGAGTGTGTAGCCCAAGGTCACCTACTTTGTTTCATGGCTGTGTGGGGATTTGAACCCAGGTCTTCGAAAATCCCCCATGTCCACTGCCACAGCATGCAGACCGTCCCCCAAGGAATGTGGCCCTTCAGAGATACAAAACATTTTCCACCATAACTCCAGGGCTCAGTAAACTATCACAGCCCCAGTAATTCTGAAAGCACAGGCAGAGCTGAAGAGATTTCAAAAAAATGTCACAATCTATCCGAATAAGTATGGTGTGTTCAGTTTCAGACCCAGCCACAGGCCGAATTGCTCACAATTAGAGAACAAAAGAAAGAAATGGGTTTTCCGAGGGTCTGCCCAGCTTTGGGACAATGAAAAGGGGTGCAGGGGTCAAACCAATTTCCTTACATGCTTCGTCCATGGCGCCATATATGTAGGAGCACTCAGCTGTTCTGCCAGAAGTTGAAAATGAGAAATTTCAAGGGCTATTGAGTGCTCTGTGAATTTTCACAGGAGCTCAGTGCAAAGTTATTTAGCACAGGTGTTTGGGTAATTGTGATGCATTGGGAGAATTTGTAGAGCTCAATGGTCCTCAAACTTCCACCTGCTTTGGGGTGGTGGTTTAAGTACTACAGCAGTGGGTTACCAGAGACATGAAAATCAAAAAATACGCAGCCATGCAGGCTCGCTCCACAACTTCCCCGACGTTGGCCATCTTTCTTTGTTTCTCGCATGTTGCTATGATCGGACTGCATCCTCTCAGCTCTGAGCAGGAGTGAGAGGTTGAGTACATTTAGACAAATGAACAAATTGGACTTTTAGCCAAGCTCGCTTACAGGGCAAGAGCTCCATTCAAGTCTGCTAACAGAGTCGGATTGCTCTGTTTTACATTTGAAGTGCCCGAGGGGAGGGGGACGGCGGGGGGTGTCACTCCAGTGTGAGCAAGACTTAGCTGATTTATTTTATTCATAACCCGTGCACTTTAAGTGAGGGGAACAATGGTTCTAAAAGGAAGAAGGTTGGAAATGAATAGTTTATGAAGCCAGACAATATAGGAGAAAGAGAGAGGCAGGGGGAAAGAGAGAAAGGCATGTGACTGGCTTCTGTGGGAAACATGATGCAGGTCTAAATGGACCTTTTAGGCCACCATACCTGTAAGGCACTGTTGAACCTACTTTAACTGTCATGGCTCCCCGCTATGAATCCTGGGAGTTGTAGTTTGTAAAAGGTACCGAGAGTTCTTAGGAGACCCCTACCAAGCTACAATTCAGAGAGTACGAGGGAACAGTGTGGGGGCACAGGGGCAGTTGCCCCGGTGCAAAATTGTTAGAGGGCACAGAATTTCAGCACCTGGTGCTGCCTCAATATAACTGTGCACTGACATCATTGGGCTCCATTGACAATGACTTCTCCATGTGAACCAAGAAGTGACCTCTCCTGACAACAGAACAGCTCTTCTTTCTTATCAATGTCTTATCTCTGCAGCTGTGACATGGACACCATTAGGTAGCCAAATGTGCATGCTCACTCCGTTTATTTCCCTCCCTGCAGCCCTGGGCACTGGCAACCTATGCTAGGCCACTGCAAGGGAATCCCTGCTTATGTGTGCATGTCTGTTCCACCCTGCTCTGCTCTGCCTTGCCCTGCTCTGTCCTGCCTTCGCCCCTTTCGGTGCCAAAAACGGCATGCATGTCAGCAGCCGTACATGTGCTGAACATGCACAAGTGGGGAGGTGCCTGTGGTTTAACATTCAATTCCTCTTCCCCAGGAACTCAGGGAAAATTAGAGGAATTATTGGGGGGACGGGCTTTTGAGATGCATACAGCTTATGGAGCTATTCTCATGCCGTCTATGACCGTTCTCTGTCTCCCTCTTATTAGGCAGAGTGAGGCAGCTGCCTCAGATGGCAGAAGCTGGATGATAGAGTGGTGGCAAGCTACTGGAGGATAGAGTTGTGCATGTGGCATGGCCTGTAGTGTACCCTCTAAGCTCACCTGCTTCCCTTAAATGTCAAGGGAAAAGTGCTGCCATAGAGACTCAACTGCCATTCCTCCTGGCTTCTTTCTTAGAAGGGCACCATCTTGTTTTGTGCCTCAGGCAGCAAAATGTCTTGCACTGGCCTGCTCTGTACCTGGCCACACCTACCTGCTTTCAACTTAGTGGTCTGGGATCTTAGAATTAGAAAGCCACTGAGTTTTGGGGACTCCCAGTTCGTATGCTATTTTGTTCTCAGAAAAGGCAGGCTCCTGAATAGCACCTGGGAGTGCAAAAAAATAAAAACAATAACCCCAGTGCCTCTCTCAGGTGGAAAATTCTGCTGGCATTAGCTCTCCCTGTATCATGTACATACTCTCTTCATATCACCATGATCCATTACCTGATTTTCTTACATCTAGAAACAAATCTGATGCCTGCCTGCATAGGCCAAAACAAGTACTCCATGGAGCTTCCGTGCAGATTGCTCATATTCTGAGAGCAGATTGTGCTGAAAATATTTTCCCAGCTTGAAATGTCCAGGCTGCCTTTACAGCTCTGGCTGCAAGAGCATTGGAGGGCGAGAGGTGGGGAGAAATCAAGGGAGCGGCAGCTGTTTTAAAAAAATACATGGAAGCCTAGAGGGCTGCTGAGACTTGGGGGTCGGGCTTGCTTTGAATTACCATCTCTTTCCAAGGCCTCCAGCTCTTGTGCTCGGCTGAAAGGGCCCCTTGAGGGAAGGACAATCTCTCCTGTCCTCTCATGCACAAATCAATTGATTAAAAGATGCTTCCCGGGTTCACAACAAGACGGCGGACGAGGGATTTGCAAGGAAACAGCTTTTCTTTGACTTTGCCCCTGACGATGAAATAATAACACAGCCAGCGGCTCTCGCCGAACTAATGACACGGGCCATAATTAAAAGATAATTAAAATACAGAAAAATAATTGTTTCACCCCTGGCTCTCCAGGTTGCAGGACTGAAACTCGGGATTCCTTTGCTCTCCGTGGTTTCGGGGAAATAGATCAGAGAAAAGGAGCCAAGCTGCAGCTCAGGAAATGGCAACCTGTTGCCGAGCGGTGAAGCTCCATTGACTTCTCTTGGATGCATCAGCATCTTGGAAATTACCGTGTTAGTTAGAAGCAGGAGTTATTCTTGGCCTGCTGCTAATGCACAAATCCATTTGACTGCATTCCTCCTCTCCCCTGAGGAGCAGGCGTGGAGAAGCATAAAATGGGTAGAAGATAAGGCGGTGTGTCATTGGGCTCCAGGGGCATCAATCAACATGACAACACATATTCTTACGAGGCATAAAATCACCAAGCCCAATCAGCATGCAAAGATGCAGGCGAGAGGGAGGAGTCATAACCTGCCCAAGCAAAAGGAATTTGGAATTCCTGTCTTTTGAATTCTTTCAAGCTCTGCAGTCTCACTGGTGATTTTAATGTGCACTTCATGCATAGCTGTCAAGCGTCCCTTATTTGGCGGGACAGGCCCTTATCCCAGCGCCATGTCCCACTGCTGTCCCTTATTGATGATGTCCCTTAAATAAGCTACTGGAGGTAATGGGGCCCTTTCTATGTCCAGCTGTCCTTTGTCAACAACAAATTGTTGCTGTTTTTGTGTGTTGAATATATGCTATTGGGTAATTTATGGACCTAATAGGTATCTAAAGTCATTTGCACGCAACAAAATATGTATTTTATCAAAGTAATTGTTGATCCCTTATTTTGGCTGCTGATCCCTTATTTTCGAGGCTGCTGGTCCCTTATTTTCAAATCTGTAAGTTGACAGCTATGACTTCATGTGATGCAGAAAAGAGGTGATTCAGCATTTATGACAAACACCGCAACATGTGAAGAGGAGGTATGTATCTTCAGACAAAAACACACACCTATAGGAACACAGGAAGCTGTCTTCTACTACGTCAACTGGGGACTAAACCAGGGGCTTTGGGAATGTGACCTTCCTCTGAACTTTGGTCCTTTTCCTAATAAGAAGCTGCCATATCCTGAGCCAGATCACTGGACCCTCTAGGAACTCTAGTTTGTAAAGGGTGCTGGGAACTGTAGCTCTGGTGAGCAAACTACAGTTCCCAGGATTATTGGGGGGATGCATGTGCTTTAAATGCATGCATGTGTGAGAGAATGAGTGTATAGCTCATAAATGAATTGCTTTCTCACCCTGAAGAAGAAGAAGAAGAAGAAGAGTTTGGATTTGATATCCCGCCTTTCACTCCCCTTCAGGAGTCTCAAAGCGGCTAACATTCTCCTTTCCCTTCCTCCCCCACAACAAACACTCTGTGAGGTGAGTGGGGCTGAGAGACTTCAAAGAAGTGTGTGACTGGCCCAAGGTCACCCAGCAGCTGCATGTGGAGGAGCGGAGACGCGAACCCGGTTACCCAGATTACGTGACTACCGCTCTTAACCACTACACCACACTGGCTCACCACACTGGCTCTGGAGGAGCGGAGACGTGAACCCGGTTCCCCAGATTACGAGACTACCCCTCTTAACCACTACACCACACTGGCCCTGCTTGGGTAGAGTAGCTGTCTGGAACCCTGAGCAGGAGTGCTCCCTTGAGAAGATAAGGATGCACTCCTGCATCTTGTGGCCCACAATTCAAAGATGCTCATTCTTAAGTTCATGATCAGTTGAAACTCTCGGGATAAGGTTTGGCAATCGCACAGCACGCCGCGCATTTGAACAAAGGCTCTTTAGAAGAAAATTGTTCTGCTTGTTCACCCTGCCATAAATTCCACAAATGCCTCTTGATTCAGCGATGAGTCGTCAATTCCAGCATTTGTTATTCAAATTACTAATGCTTATTTAGTGTATTGGGGGGGGAGGGAGGTGCAGGCGGGTTAGCAATCTGCACATAAAGTCCCAGCAGGAGATGATTGCTTCCCGAAGAACAAAGGAGGGAAGCTGACATTCGGTTGGCAAAATACCTCAGAGTTTGTGTATATGTGCTCTGTCTGGAGCAACTGTGGGTTTCTTTCTAGGAAAGCCATAAATGAAACAGTGGTGATTCAGCTTCAGCAGAACAGGAAGCTGGCGCCGTTACAAGTCGGCGCTGGAATAGCTATTCCAGCTTGCCCGACATCTTTAGCGAAAAGAAATATCTAATTCAGCTGATTATTGGAATCCTGGGCACTAACAACTAGCGTGGGTATTTTCAAAAGAAATACCATCTCAGTCAGGGGTGTAGAATCACTCTAAGCCAGCCTTTCTTTAACTTGGGTCCTCCATTGTTGTTGGCCTACAAGCCCCATCATGCTTAACGCTGGTCCCGCTAGTTAGGGGTGATGGGAGTTGTAGTCCAACAACATCTGGGTCCTCAAGGTTGAGAACAGCTGCTCTAGGCCAACAGTTCATCACATGAGCGAAACCGTTATTGGGCTGTACCATTTCAGAATGCAGGTGGGGGAAACTGCATGAGTGACTTCTCTCCAACATGAAACATTCTCCACACATACACACACAGAACATGAACAGATATGAAAGCAACCTAGGCTAGTTTTCGAAGTGTGAAGTGGTTGCATTAAAAATGGGATGCCTTAAGTGGTGTTATCTCCCATCCACAGCTCGAATGGTACAGACTCAGGCTACATTGACACCATACAGCTAAGCACTCTGTTGTTGTTGTTTAGTCGTTTAGTCGTGTCTGACTCTTTGTGACCCCATGGACCAGAGCACGCCAGGCACTCTTGTCTTCCTCTGCCTCCCGCAGTTTGGTCAGACTCATGTTTGTAGCTTCGAGGACACCGTCCAACCATCTCGTCCTCTGTCGTCCCCTTCTTGTGCCCTCAATCTTTCCCAACATCAGGGTCTTTTCCAGGGAGTCTTCTCTTCTCATGAGGTGGCCAAAGTACTGGAGTCTCAGCTTCAGGATCTGTCCTTCCAGTGAGCACTCAGGGCTGATTTACTGAAGAATGGATACGTTTGATCTTCTTGAAGTCCATGGGACTCTCAAGAGTCTCCTCCAGCACCATAATTCAAAAGCATCAATTCTTTGGCGATCAGCCTTCTTTATGGTCCAGCTCTCACTTCCATACATCACTACTGGGAAAACCATGGCTTTAACTATACGGACCTTTGTTGGCAAGGTGATGTCTCTGCTTTTTAAGATACTGTCTAGGTTTGCCATCGCCTTTCTCCCAAGGAGCAGGCGTCTTTTAATTTCGTGACTGCTGTCACCATCGACTCTGACACCACTTTAAATAGTCACGGCTTCCCCCAGATAATTATGGAACCTGTAGTTTGCTAAGGGTGCTGAGAATCGTTGAGAGAACCCTATTCACCTCACAGAGCTACAATTTTCAGAGTGCTTTAACAATCAATCCGTATTTCCCAGGGAACTCTGGGCACTGAAGCTCTTTGAGGTGGAGAGTGCTCTTGTACTGGGGTCCTGCTTACAGATTTCCCACAAACATCTGGTTGCCACTGGGAGAACAGGATGCTGGACTAATGGGCCATTGGCTCGATCCAGTAGGCTCTTCTTACATTTTCAATCCTATGCAGATCTATTCAGATCACTTGGTTTGATGGGGTTATTCCCAAATAATTGTACAAAGCATTACCGTATTTTTCGCTCTATAACACACACCTGACCATAACACGCACATCGTTTTTAGAGGAGGAAAACAAGGGAAAAACATTCTGAATGAAACAGTGGATGTATCATTTTTGTGCTTCATGCTGTGGCCACAGACATGTGATCTGATGGTGAATTTGGGGTGGCCCAATGCAAAAATCCTGAGAATCCCTGTGGATTCATGCTTTGTAACCACGTTTTTGCACCATTGCAGCCCCAGGCAACAGTGGGTGCGTGATTTGGGGGGGGGGCAGGCTGTAGCCATGGACATGCTATGTGCTCTGATGGTGAATTTGGGCTGACCCAATGCAAAGATCCTGAGGATCCATGTGGATCCATGCTTTGTAACAACATTTTAAGTGGGGAGGGAAGGAAAAACACAGAAGGGAAAAGGAGCATGAGAGGGGTGTGCAGAGAAGCAGCTGGCTAAGAATGCAGGAGAGGGGTATAACAGGAGGGAGGAAAGGAAGGCAAAAGTTTTCCCCCACTCACCCACCCAAGCCAGCCGGCTCGCGCTCTCTCTCTCTCTCCCTCCTGCATGTTTTCACGGAGAGGAATTAGAATGAAGGACGCTCTCTTTCCCCTCTTCTTGCCTGGAGGGGAGGGGCTTTCCCTGCTCTTTGTTCCGTTTGAGCAAACACAGCAACGAAACAGAGAAGGGTGGGCAGTAAGACCCTGAGGCAGAATGCAGGAAAGCAGCCGCTTCCTCTTTTCAGGCTTCCCTTCTCCGAGAGGCGCGATTTGATTTTTGCCTGATTTTTTTTGCCTCCACTTGCCCCAGTCGGCTCCAGGGACCACACATTCGCTCAATAACACGCACAGACATTTCCCCTCCCTTTTTAGGAGAAAAAAATCTGCGTGTTATAGAGGGAAAAATACGGTATTTTCTTTTTTTCCATACAAAATACAGATACAGCTACTGTTTTAAAACCCCTGTCTTTCCAGGGTTCCCCTACCCCAACAGACACTCAACATCGTTGGGGAGGGGATGTATTAACAGCCTGGTAAATACATTCCTAGGGACACGGGTGGCGCTGTGGGTTAAACCACAGAGCCTAGGGCTTGCTGATTAGAAGGTCGGCGGGTCAAATCCCCGCGACGGGGTGAGCTCCTGTTGCTCGGTCCCTGCTCCTGCCAACCTAGCAGTTCGAAAGCACGAAGTGCAAGTAGATAAATAGGTACCACTCGGGCGGGAAGGTAAATGGCATTTCCGTGCACTGCTCTGGTTCGCCAGAAGCAGCTTAGTCATGCTGGCCACATGACCCAGAAGCTATACACCGGCTCCCTCGGCCAATAAAGCGAGATGAGCGCCGCAACCCCAGAGTCGGTTATGACTGGACCTAATGGTCAGGGGTCCCTTCACCTTTAAATACATTCCTAGGTGAACACACCTACAATGGGTGCCTCCAGAGGTATTGTTTTCCTGTTTGGCCAGCAATATCCTGAGGGGTAAAGGGTGTCACCGATTAAGGGCACTTCCAGAGGGTCTATTCATCCACCTTGATTTGTTTGCGGGGAGATTTAATGAACTTGGCCTAAAAAGCATCCACTCTGATTTGTTTGCGGGAAAGTTAGATCATCTTGCATCAAAGGCAAGTATTATCTATACTTTTCAGCTTGATTTCCCATCACTTTCCATACTGGAA